AAAAAAAATAGTTGAATTATGGTAATTTTAAAGATCTTTCTAATTAAACAGTACATTTAACTATCAACCATTAACAAATTCTTCCCCTTTTGTTTGTGATTTTTATATCCTTTCTTATAATGCCTAAAACAGAACTAAAAACTGACGTTTCCCAAGTTAAATTTGCATTATAATGCAGTCACTATTAACTGAACCTTTTAAAAGTCATTCCACTTATTTTTATTCTGTGGCACAAACCGCTTCATCTAGAATATTTATTTACCATTTAAGACACAAAAGTTTACAGTTGGTAACAAAAAAAATGGGAAAACAACAACAACAACAAAAAACCACACACACATTTTTTTTACCGTTTATCCTAAACCTGAAATAGAAGAATGAAAAAACTGAACAAATATGAGTTTTAACTAATTATATACACATTTAGAAATCAATCTAATTTACAAGACCTTAGGCCCTCAATTGTTTTATCTTTAAAACCGAGTGTACTTTCTGAGTAATGTACTTAGTTAATGGAAAAAAAGTAACAGTAAATGTGCATGCACTTAATGTACACATACTAGGTAATCCTAGAAACTCCTCTCAAAAGCTGGCACATTAGAAGACCCCATGATTCAGTAATTCCACTTTGACGAAAGTGAAAACTTTCCACATCCATATGCCCCCCCCCCCGTCCCATTATTACAAGTTGTCCCGTTATTACAAGGAAATCCTGAAAGGAAAGCCCTGAGTCACCAGATCTCAAGGGATATTTCCTTCTGAACACAGCCTATTGGAAACGTTTCTCCCTTTGCTCCAACTTCTCCAGAAATAAGCGCACAGCGAACGACCTCCCCCCTCCCGCTTCTCAAGTCACGGCTTCGCCCACTAAACAAACAGCGCCGTCCTCCTTCCCATCCAGACGTCCGACTAAGCCACCAAGGAAGGAATGCGCAGCACCGGGGGGACCCAGGCCAGCCGCTCTTTCTTTACCAATCTCTGGAGAACGGATCGAGCAGGAACAACAAGGATCGAGAGACAGCGGTTGAGAAAGAGTCTCAGAGCTGCCGCGGGGCTGCCGGCGTCGCCCCGAGCCAGGCCTCTGGGCTCGGCTCTGCCCGCCCCACCCCCAGCCCGGTCGGGACCCCGAACCTGGCGGCGTCGCGGGCCACGCCGAGCGCGCGGATCCCGCAAACTTTCCCTCCATGCCCAACTGGGCGCAGAGAGGGGCGCGGAGCCCCCTGAGGAGAGGGTGTCGCCGCCGCCGCCTGAAAACCGCGGCGACGGGGCTCTCACCGTTAAGTAGCCCGGATCCCCCACGCCTCCGCCCCTCGGTTTCGCGCCTGGGACGCGGCACAGGCGTCCCTCCTTCCCCCGGGGCCGCTCACCTAGACCACGAGAACCTTCTCGCCGCCGTTCCTCCGGTCACTGGCACGGACTTCCGAGACC